TCCTTTGGCCCCTTAGGTTGGGATAGGTTTTTTTGTCAAAGAGCTATGTTTTGACCTATGACCATTTGACCCCCTTGGTTGGAGATGATATAAAATATGGCCTGACACTGTCCATTAAAAAATAATTTCTTGCAGGGCTATAGGACTAAAAATGGCCATTTGGCCCCTTTTCGGTTGGAGATGACCTCACAATGTTGTCTTCTATTCTCAACAAATGGAAGTGTTTCAACAATATTAGAATTTGTTCATAATGGAACGTGTGTTTTGTGAGAGCATGGACTACCTAATATATAGTGACAAAACTCCCATTAATCCAGCATATCTCTACTATTAGAAAGGCAGAAGTCAATTTTGGTGTCTCAAGGCTTCATCAAAAATAATTGGACAACAATGCCCCTGAAACAAAAAAATGCATTAACTGAAAAGAAATACAGAATTTTTTTACTAAGGGTAGTTTTGTAAGAAAAAGTAATAATTAAAAGAGATTAAATAGAAGGAAAATAAGAAAAGAATTAAACGTGCAAAAGGAATCATGATCGTGGAGGACTCCAAATAAATTGCCGCAACGGAGAAGATAAAATAACTCGCAACAACTCGCAAATGTACATTGAGTATTCCACAAATCCAGAGGAGGAGGGAAGAAGCTTCGTCCTTTCTACTTCGAATGGTTTGGGTACATTTTAAAAATTATCAGCGGGATTTGTTTCCCTCCCTTATCGCTCATTCTATGTTTTTGGTTTTTCTTAACTTTGGTCGTTTTATTGCAGGAAAACTAAGTTAGAACTCATATTGATTTGTTCATGTGAAATTGGTTTTTTTTTTTTTTCTTCTGTTTTTTTAGTATGATGAGTTTGAATTGATATGAACCTTTGTGTTTGGAAGGTGAATTTTGGTTGAGATAGAATTGGGAACGCAAGTTGATCATGGGTAACTTTGAATTCAGATATGTACCATGTAATCAGGTAATTTCTGTGGACATACTCTTTCTTCCAACTTCTGAAGTTCAATCAGCATGTGTAAACTATTGATAAAACCATTCGTTGGTTATATATTATGGATACCTTCAAGAGAGAATATAAATTATAGTTTTATTCTCTCCGTTTGCACTATGGACATTATTAATTGTTTATCAGCACGTTATTGCTTGAACAATTAGAATTCTCTTTAAAATCTTTACTCCCTGGCATATGTTGGTGTTTAGTTTGTGAGAAATATGATGGTTTACTTAAAGAAGTTAATATATGTTTAGATTTATCTACATTTTGATTGAAGTAGGGACATCATAGTTCATGGCTCCACAACTGTACGAGGAGGCAAATTACGATAGTCGAAGAGTGTTTGAAAAATAGATGCGAGGGAGCAAATGAGTTTGGGATTTCAAAAAACTACTACAATTGGTGGATGTGTTTTACTTATTGTACAAAGCTTTCAGAAAGGTAAGTAGAGCCAATTAATTCTAACTATTACTTCTGATATAAAGTCATAGAATAAATAAAATGATATATGTTATTTGTAGTTACAAAATTTTTTAAATTCGCGCATAGCGCACTATGATAAAAGAAAGTCCTCTTACATAAGGGAAAGCGCAGGCAGAAAGCCAAAACCCTACAGAACCCTACCTTTGAGAGTACCGGCCCTTGAATGGATGAATTGTGGGTAAACGATGTCTTTGTTTTTTACTAATTCCATTTGTTTCTCTTTTAAGTTAATCATTTCTTTTGTGTTTGAGGGACTTAAAGTTAATTGTTTTGGAATTCTACTTTTTGGTGTTTGTTTTCTTTAGTTGCATTGAAAGTTTTTTTTGTACAGATTGTAAAACCAAAACGAAAATCATTCGACTTATCAAAGTTTAGCCAGAGGATTCAACCGGGTATGCTCTTTCTGTTTGTCTTACTTTGTTTATCAAAGTTGTGCTTTCATTTGGATTACATTTCTTGCTAAATTTTAGCTCTGTTTCAATTTTTTTATTAAACAAATTTGTTGACCTATGAATTCATGTTATAATGTGGGAATCATAGCAAAGCTTTTCCAAATGAAAATTTGTTTAATGAATTGAAAAGGATAATACCGTAAAAAAATGTTATAAGTATCTTGACATACTACAACAAGTTTTCTTTTTGGCAAGTTTGTGTTTCTCATTCGTATTCATGATTCCGTTAAGATTTTTTTTTTTTTTTTTTTTATCTCTCTATTTTATATCTCCATCATAAGGTTGAAAGATCCAACTCCAGAAATTGCCACCTTGGTTATCAAACAACCCAATTAATTCTAAAGCACCACTTTGGCATATTGATTTATTCGCCATAATTCAACAGCTCGGCATAAAAATCTAAAATTTTGACACGAATAAGTTCAAAGACTTACGAAGCTACTCTAATTAGAATTACTTCAATATTTATCCGTTTGATTACATTTTGCTCAGAAGAGATTCTCATGTCCTACATTAGAATTATGGATCCAAATATCAAAATTCTCACAAAATAGCCAATAACTAATACTAAAAATAGAGTAAAAATATACAATAATATCGGCTCATTAATAGTCAGTCACATGTTATGCATTTGATAACATACGATAAAGGGTTTGTTTTCTTTGTAGGAATTTTGTCCTGGCATGGAAGCTGACGGGATATATATGAATATCAAATAGGTAGGATAGTGCTAAGTGATATTTTCTTTGCATTAATGTAAAATAAAAATTTCTAAATTTCACATACACAATTTCTTTGACGTTATATGACTGTTGAGTTGTTTGCTGTCATTAGTTGGATTTTCAGGGATTGCTTGTCGCAGCTAAAATTTTAGAGTTAGTTAATATCTTCTTATTTGGAACAAGTTTTTGTTGGATATTTGATATTATAATATTTAATATTAGTTTGAATGAAGAAATTAGTTTGTGAAGTGTTTCATGTAGAGAATGCAACACTCGCCGTTTAGTATTTAAAACATAATAGTTGTAACCTTTCCCTAATTTACTTACGGTTATGTCATAGCTAATTGGCTGTCATGGTTATAGAAGTGGTGCGAACCGCAAAGTATCTGTATAGAGTTAGTCATGCTGTTTAGAAAAAGGCACTTGGGTTGTATATAAACCCAGTAACACTAAGCCATGAGATAAGTAGAAAATAACAGAATTAATTACTCTTGGGAAATAGGGCTTCCCCACTCTATTTCTCTCATTCTTCGTTTGTTTTTTGAGTGTGTCTTGAGAGTACGGAATATATAAAGTTCGCCAAAGTTCGAAGATTGAAGTGCTTTGACTTCAGATTATAGATTGTTAAATCCTGGGAGACGGACGTCTACCAAACTACAAGCACAAGAGTAGGGGTGAAATTCTGTCTTTAGGACATTGCATTTATGCAAGTTTCAATCTCTAAGTTTGTTAGTATTTCTAACTTTCTCTCTAGTTGTTTATATTAATCTTATATATAATTGATGTTGTGAATTTCCTTATGATTATTATTATTGGAATTTTTGTGTTATTTCCATATTTTTTATTATTGCTCTAACAATTTTTTGCTCGACACCAATCGGATTTTTACCTCCCATACACCTTTGTTAATTTTTGTCCATTGTTCTTCTTCAATTCATTTGATCCGAAAGCCGAAAGTTAACATGAATATGTGAGAAGTAAAAATTAGTATGTAGATAACATTATCCTTTAACAAATATCCAAAATACTTGGGACAGTTTGATTTCTTAGTAAGTTGTTAATGTTTTACTCCTGTACGAATATGTAGTTTTTTTCCGACGGACGGACGGCCACGATTTTTTGTGCAGTTATGCACACGGTGAGAGATCTCTCAACTCTAAGAAATAAATTTGTTTGTTTATTACTGAGATAATATAAATTAGTTACTGCTACTCAGTACTACAGTCTGATGATATTCCTCTTTACTTGGAAGCGAGAGGTCTAAGGTTCGAATCTAGTAGATGACGAATTCAATAACAAATTAGGTTGCTCATTGTATAGTTTAGCCGAACTCTTCCTCTGTTTAGTGTAAAAATATCAATACACTAAAAAAAAAAAAATGAATTAGCTACTTGAAAGGTGACCCTAGGCCCTTCCTCTGTTTAGTGTAAAAATATCAATACACTAAAAAAAAAAAAATGAATTAGCTACTTGAAAGGTGACCCTAGGCCCATTTTCCTTTAGACGTGGAGAGTACGCATATATATATATATGCCTCAGCTAAAGGGGATTTGTTTGGGAAATTAATAAGCATTCAATCCAATCGGTTATCTTTCTTGGAGCCAAAGTAGTCCACTCCTGTTCTTTTCACTAGATTAAGATTTAGGTTCGAGTTCGCGGTCGGCAATTTCTCTTGACAGCCTATTTATAAAAAGAAAAATTAAGAGATTGAAAGGTGTCAATTATGAAATTTTTACTGAGAAGATACATTATTTGTAAGTGGGATACTGAGCTCATCCCCAAAAAAGGAATGCAAATATTATCCTTAATTAATTATGTTTGAAGAAGGCCATCAATATCCTAATAATTATATTTGAGGAAGAAAGGCAATGGACAACAGGAAACAAATAGAATGGCTAAAATGGAAGAGAGAGAAAGAAGAAAAAAACTCTAATACCTTGAAGCTTAGTTTTTTTTTTAGTACACTGATATATTTTATACTAAGGGAAGGGAAGTTCGGTTAAACCACACAATGAACAACCTAATTTGGTATCGAATTCGCCATCCACGAGATTCGAACCTAAGACCTCTCATTTATAAGTGAAGAGGAATACCACCAGACCATAGTACTGAGTGACTTTAGCTCTGTTTTTTTTAGTACATCGATATATTTTAGAATAGAACGTGAGATAGAAATTTTGTATCAGGAAACAAATATCCGTGATACTAATCCCTAGAATTAAGGTTAAAAAAGCTAAGCAGCTCCTATATTATTAAATAGTGGTACCGTGGGTATCAAGTAATTAATTAACATTTGCTGCTATATTAGAAAACACCATATTCATATTGTTATCACAAAAGCTTTGAAAATGGCTAAACTACTCTCGGCTGTGAGAGCACACCAAAAGCATGGCAACAAAGTTTCACAACTCGCAAAAGGACTAATAGCTCCTAAGTATACAACTCTTGTCGATCCTCCAACTCCGGAGCTCAAACTACCCACACATACTTTCTCCAGAGCCAATTTCAATTTCGACAATGGGAAACCCAATACAACATTCATAAATCCAATCCCGTTGATTGGCTTGATTACCAGCTTGTTTAGTACCGGTAACCCCTGTGTTGATCTCTTTTTCAATGTGATCAAGCCGGAGAAAGCAAGTCCGGCTGAGGTGGAGGCTACCTGTATTTATTTGAAACAACTGCTGCCGCTGGCCTGGTCGCACAATCCGGTAACCACTCTTAAACTCATCTGTAATCTACGAGGTGAAAAATGCTATTTGGAAGCATTTGACACGGCCGCGTATTGGCTCCACCACAACCACCCCAAGACCCTATTGCGCAGCATCCCTTCTATTGCTGTGTCGTTTGGGTGTTTTATTGATCCTGTCGATATTTTGTACTTCCTTCTAGAAGGCCGGGAGAGGAGGAGGGAAAATGAAGAAGAGACAGATGCCAGTAGTGGTAGTGCTCAAGAGAAAACCCTGGCAGAAATGACGAAGTTGTTTATTGAGAGGTATGAGCGTGACCCGAATTACAAGTTATTACACGATAGGGTTACAGACGTTTATGTGGAACAGTTGAACTTTGGTATGGAAATATTGAAGCGAAAATTTAAGCGATCGGATATTGATGATAAAGATCGGTACTCCTTGGCCTATGAGATAACTGACGCTGCTGGCTGTTGCACCATGGACACCAAAACCATCAATGCCACTTTGATATGTGAAAGCATTGCGAGGAAGTTTTTTCCCCGAGAATCATATCCGGAGTATCAAGGCATTGACGACACCCAATACGCTAAAAAAATTGAAGGTCGACTCAGGAAGGAGGTTTTGGTGCCCTTGGAGAAGACCGGCTATTGTAGACCAAATAAGCAAGGAAAGCCCTGCGAGATTGAGACGTATTTGGAGGAGGTGAAAGCGGACAAGTCCAAGATTGACCCCGGTGCTTTGCTTCCACATCATATCATGGCCTTTGCGGATCATCCCAATGTTGGGGAAGTGGCTGAGCTTCAATGGAAAACAATGGTGGAAGGCATGAAAAAGATAGGCAAGATGAACAATTGCTTGGCTGTATGTGACGGCGGCAGAATATGCATACGGGGAAAGGCGAGGGAGGTCTCACTGGCTTTGGGACTTTTGGTGTCTGAATTGACCCAAGAGCCATGGAACGGAAATGCTGTCAGTTGGCACTCAACTCTACAACCGATACAAGGCCATGATCTTAAGTCCAAGTCCAAATTTATGACGAAGATGGACTTCGAGGGCTCAGATAAATACGATCTTGATATTGAGGAAGTGCTTGACTCGATTTTGGAACTGGCAGTGAATGAGAATTTGCAGCCGGAGCAGATGGTCAAGAAGGTGTTTGTGTTCAGCAAGCAACACTTTAGCCATGAGGCTTATTCCTTATGGGAATATGATTATAATGAAATAAAGAGGAAGTTTGAGGCAAAGGGGTACGGCGATGCGGTGCCACACATAGTGATTTGGTTTATGCCAGATCTTTACTTAGAATGGGAGAAGATAGAGATGCCGTGGACACAACCGGGGATGACAATGTTGAGTGGCTTCTCCGAAAACTTGCTCAAGTTGTTCTTAGAGAATGATGGGGAAATTGGCCCAGAGCATGTCATGGAAGCCGCCATCTCCGAAGAGAAGTATCAAAAGCTGGCTGTAGTGGACTGATCTACATATATAGTTATGATGATCATCCGTCATCCATTTTAAGTAGTTTTTTTTTTTTTTTTTTTTTTTTTTTTGAGAATGGTGTGAGGAGGCTTGATTTTATTTAGTTTTTAATTCATATTATCTATGGTTAACATGATGATTTAATGGTGGCAATATTATTTGTAGAGATGCTAAAAGCTGTGCAAATGCTCTTAAGGTCGCATGCTTATATAGTGATAAACATTGAAATTCTGCTGCTTCTTATTTAGAACAAGCTGTACCCTTATTTACCTTTCATAAAATAGAAATTAAATATGTTATGCATCAGAGCAACTAACTTAAATCAGAAACCTACAAGCCACTTAGTACTATGGTCTAGTGGTATTCCTCTTCACTTGTAAGTGAGAGGTTTTAGGTTCGATTCTCGCCAAAGGCATATTTGAACCACATTACTACTGGCCCATTATGAGGCTAAGTCCACACCCCTCCCAGTAGTGTAGATAATATCTTTTGTTCAAAAAAAAAAAAATCAGAAACCTACAATGATAGGATCAGAGATCAACATAACTGGAAAAGGAAATTACGGGAAAAGAAAAGGGGTGTGATATCCACACATCCCATTTTACTTCTCACACACCTTTTCAATTTTCGGTCGTCAGATCGGATGAATTGAAGAAGATCAACGGAAAAAAATTATCAAGGGTGTGTGAGAGGTAAAATGGGGTGTGTGGATAGCACATCCCAAAAGAAAATGCAAGAAAAGTAGAATAAACTAAAGTAAATTCATATAATTTCATTCATAGTCCTCTTTACATCAGAAAAAAGGTTTAAATACATTCAAAGATAGTAGCCTTTATTAAGGGTACAAGTCAGCAATACAGTTAGAAATATAGTTAGCAAGTTTGTTAGTATTTGGTTAGAGTTGTTAGGCTTACTAGTACAAAAACAAAGCGTATAATCTTCATTCTTTTAGTTAATACAAATCCTATTTCTCTCTAAACTCTATGTTTCTCTCTCTCTAAATATCTTTGTGTTCATCCTTTCTTTTTGATTTTCCCTTCAATTCCCAAACATTGCAATGTAGTTAACAACGTTCAAGATGTAGATGGGCCTAATAGTATTACATATGTAACAGACCTAATCAATAGCAATAACAAGACGCAGTCCAATAGGTCCAATAGCTTAGAGTTGCATCATACAACTATAAATATAAACTTGGCCTTAGTGAAATACCAAAACTTTTAGGTGGAATTTAGACCTCCCATTGTCTCCACCGTGCCCGTATATCACCACATGTCCTCAACCATAACTTCAACGTGAAATTGAAGAAACCCCGAGCAAAGTATTTCAAAACCTATCAGAAATAGTGATTTCAGGTTCTAACAACTATTTAATTTCCTGGGTAAGTCGCCTGGCAAACACAATGCAACGAAAAATCTACCAAAAATGTAAACAGCAATGAAGTTTTACAAACTTAAAAGTTACAACAGTGTTCGACAACGGGTTAGCGGGCGAAAGTTTAAATCTTCACAGCGTTGCAAATTCTTCAATCAGAACAAAACTTGAACTCGAATATCTGAAATAGAATCAGAAAGAGAGAGGAGAGAGGAGAAACTTTAATTCCTTGAACCCTAATTTCGGGAATTAGTATTATGGATTTTTGTAAAGTGCTAATACAAAACTTTTATCTCTTATTAAATGAAAAGAAATATTATCTTGACCGAGAGAAACCATCTAAGATGAAAATTCCACCTCATCAAATAGTGGAACCTTGGATTTCAAGTAATTAATTAAGATCAGCATGCATGCTATATAAGCATGTTCATTGTTATCAAGAAGAAAACATTGAAAAAATGGCTAAACTCCTGTCAATTTGGAGAGCACACACGAGCCATGGAAACAAAATTTCACAAGTCACAGACTTATGGCTTCTAATTATACAACTAGTGTTGCTCCTTCGCCTCCCCGGCCCGAATCACAAACACATAGATTGGCGGCCGCCAAGTTCAATTTCAACAATGGGAGACCCAAGACAACATCCCCAAATCCGATCCCAACGATTGGCTTGATTACTGGCTTGTTTAACACCGGTAAACCCTGTGCTGATCTCTTTTTCATCGTCATTAAGCCGGAGAAAGTCAGCCCGGCTGAAGTGGAGGCTACCCGTATGTATCTGAAGCAGCTGCAGCCTGCTGCCCCTCGCCTGGTCCCACAATCCCCTAACCACCCTCACTCTCATTTGTAGCCTACGAGGTGAAAATTCTATTAGGAAGCATTTGAATGGCTTGGCTCTACTACAACCACCCCAAGACTCGATTGTGCACCATCCCTTCTATTGTCGTGTCGTTTGGGTGTTTTACTGACCCTGCTGAGATTTTGTAGTTCTGTCTAGAAGGGCGAGAGAGGAGGAGAGGGATAAAGAAGTGATTGCTGCTGGTAGTGGTAATTCTCAAGAGAAAAGCCTAGCAGAAATAGCCACCAGGGCCGGCCTGAGGGTGGTTCGAGGAGGCGCCATCTAGGGCCCCCACTTCGGGGGGTCTTCAAATTTTATATATATAGGGAAGTGTCATTGATGTTTCAAAAATCTCATCCTACATTCTTCATAAATATATATGTTTTTCAAAATATAAAAAGTTTGAAATTAGAATAAGAATTTTAGAATGTTAATCATAATTTTCTATATATATTTATATATATAATTTTGTAGTTTGAGTAAAATATCTAAATATGAAATTATAAATATTTTTTTGGAACTTGCTGCCGTGCAGCGTTTTGGGTGGGGAGGGGGGCCCCAAAAAATATTTCTTTTTAAATATGTGTGTGTGCATATATATATATATATATATTGAGAGTTTGAATTTAATAAAATATTTAAATATAAAATCATATAATTGTCTTGAAACTTGGGGTACAAAATGTCTTGGATGGGGTGAAACTTCAGCAACAATTCAACTTTTTTTTGGGAATTTAAAGCATAGCATACTGGTAGCAAGTCTGCGCTTGCGAATTGGTTCTTTCCCACTCCACTTACAGAGGTCAGGTACCCGATCAAAGTTTCTTTTCTCTTCTGCTTTTTTTTTCTATAATTTAATTTGTGAATGTTGTGTTTGTAAATATAATTAGGATTTTTGATTCTAGGTTTACGACTTTTTTAGTTTAATGCGTATTATTTATACGAAATTAGAATATTCACTTGTCAAGTGTCTATATTGCAGTTATAAAATTCGAACTTATGGATGCACTTAATAAAATGGTTAAATCCCTTCAAGAAGATAAATGGATTATGGGTGCACTTAACAAGGTTGGTTACTTTTGCTTTCTAACTAGTTTTGGTTATTTGGAGTATTAACTTGTCAAGTGTCTATATTTAAGTAATGTTTGCATATCTTTCTTCTTTGGATATGAATTTTAATGATTTTTGATGTAGAAATGAACCTCTTCATGTATTTAGCGAAACTTTTTCTTATACATATAAATGTACAATGAGTTGGATGTCAAAGAACTTTAGGCCCCCACTCCAAGGCTCGCTTAGGACCCCAATTTTCTCAAGGCCAGCTCTGATAGCCGCTATGGCTATTGAGAGGTATGAGCGCGACCCGAATTATAAGTTGTTACACGACAGGGTTACGGATGTTTATGTGGAACACTTGAAGTCTGAAATTAAAATATTGAAGCAAAAATTGATGCAATCCGATATTGATGAAGATGATCGGTGCTGCTTGGGTTTTGAGATAACTGACGCTGCATGGAATTGCTTTTCCGAAAACTCCATGGACGCCCACATCATCAGTGCCACTCTGCTCCTCGAAAGCATCGCGAAGAAGTTTTACCCCCATCATCAGTGCCACTTTGGTAACATATACCAGATCATTGCCTTTGCGGATCATCCCAATGTCGGGGAATTGGCTAAGCTTCAGTGGAAGACAATGGTGGAGGACATGAAAAAGTAAGGTAAGCTGAAACACCGTCTGGCTATGTGTGACAACGGTAATAGATATGAGATACTTCGGGGAATATGACAACGCTGGCTTTAGGACTTTTGGTGTCCGAATTGAATGAAGGGCCGTGGAAAGGAAAGGTGATCAATTACACTTAGTACTCGTCTCAGATACATTTGGTACAAGGCTATGATCTTAAGTCCAAGTGTGAGTTTGTGAGGAAGATGGACCTTCGAGGCAGAGACTGCTGCTTTCTTAATTATATAAAGGTGTTTGATTCAATTCTGGAAGTAGCCGTGAACGAGAATTTGGAGTTAGAGCAGATGATTAAGAAGGTTTTTGTTTTCAGTCGCCAAGACTTTTGCCATGAGGATAATCTGGAGATTGGTTATGAGGAAACAAAGAGGAAGTTTGAGGAGAAAGGGTATGGCGATGTGGTGCCACACTTGGTGCTTTGGTGTATATGTCGGGGCTTGATTTCGAATGGGAGAAATTTAGGATGCCTTGTATACAACAGGGGTAAACTATATTGAGTGGCTTCTCCAATAATTTGCTCAAGTCGTTCTTGGACAATGGTGGGGAAATTGATGCAGAGCATGTCATGGAAGCCGTCATCTCTGAAGAAGAATACCAGAAGCTGGCTGTGGTGGATTGATCTACAAATATGTGATGATCATATTCATCACTCCTGATTATTAAGGCTTAATTTATAGTTAGTGGTGTCAAATTCCCCTTTTTACTGCTTCTATTTCATTTTATCTAACACTAGTATATATATTTTTTCAGTTAGTAGATCCTCCTGGAAAATAATACAGGCTGTTTGCTTTGATGTTTCGTTCCTACTTTAGCTTACAACGGCCCTTTACGTGTGTAAACATTGAAATTCGGCTGCTTCATTTCTTACTAGTTTTAATTGCAGATCCAAGGTTTCACCTCAAATTGCAGATCCAAGGTTTCACCTCAAACTGCCGTGTTTGATGACTAATTATGTTCGAGGACAATGATACAGGTTGACTTAGTTGATTTGCCTAGTGTATATACATTTTTCTTTTGCTGAATAGAGCATGATGAAGACGAAACAATGACAATTGACAAGCATATATAAAAAAGAGAAGGAACTTTCTGGAGAAGAAATGAGTTCTTGTATTATACAATACATGTCTTATTCAAGACAGGAAGCTAATTTCTTACACGCCTTAATCAAACAATACTAATTCCTAAACTTGAAGTTCACGTTCGTGACATCATAGGTTATTTGACTTGAGGACATCAAAATTAACAACAGATGAGGCATGTTTATTGGGCAACATAGCTTGTCAAGGATATGCAGGTCGAGCAGCTAGAAATAGAGGAACTTTCTTGGCAACTGTAAGGCCAGCAGCCTCTTCCATGTCCATGTCTTCTCTTCTCACCCTGTGAGGCAGTTCCCAGTCAAAACAATAAAGCAGATTGGCGAGCGCAAGCTCAATCAGCTTCGCAGCAAAGTTCATACCAGGACAACCCCTCCTTCCGGCGCCAAATGGTAGAAGTTCAAAATGGTTTCCTTTGTAGTCAACTGAGCTGTCCATGAATCTCTCAGGTAGGAATTCTTTCGGGTTTTCCCAACATTTAGGGTCACTTCCTACCATTTTTGCAAGCACAAACACCATTGTGTTGGCAGGAATTTCGTACCCTTCGATTGTACAACTCTCTAAGGTTTCTCTTGGAAGCAGTAATGGCGCAGGTGGATGTAGTCTAAAACTCTCCTTCAAGACCAACTTTAGATACACGAGTTCGGACAGATCAGTTTCTTCCACCTTCCGTTTTCCCTTCAAAACTTCTCTCACCTCGTCTTGTGCTTTCCTCAATATGCGGGGATTCCTAATCAATTCAGCCATTGTCCATACCAGTGTGGCTGATGTGGTATCAGTCCCTGCAATAAACATGTCCTGCAAGAAAAGATTTCACAATTAGCATCCGTCTCCCAAGCCGGCTGAATTAATTCGATAAAACCATACGAAGAAGTCTTAAATTCAAATTGTTAAACAACTATTGGACTCCAAAAGCTTAATTTGTTTGGAAATGAGCTAACAAAGAATATTAAGCCAACACAATATCGTTGAAGTAATCGAGAAAAGAAAAAAAAAATCATAATAACAATTCAGTAACATATGTTCAAATGCAAGAAGAAAGAAAATGCAACATACGGTTAGAACACCCTTAATTTGGTCATTAGTGAGGGCGATTGTTTGACTTGGATCGTTCTGAACTCGAAGGAGTACATCAACAAGATCTTCATGCTCCGGTTTAGGCCTTTTCGGATCAAGGTGTTCCTCAATCACTCTGTCGTAGAGATTGTCCAAGCCTTTAAAACACTTCTCTAACTTTTGATCAAGGCCATTGAACTTGTTTAGCCAACTTATCCAAGGTAGGAAGTCCGACACGCAATATCCTCCCAACAGGGTCCTTGTCTCTTCAAGCAACTCATGAATCCTGCTCTTTCCAATCTCTCCTGCATCATCATACTTTTTACCAAACGCCGAACGACTCACAACATTATTTGCCAAGAAAAGTGTGAGTTCACTGATATTGACCGGACCCTTAGAATGCGCGATAGATTCGAGCATAAGTCCGACCTCTTCATCCCTCACAGACTGAAACATTTGGACCCTCTTTGCACTAAGCAGTTCGAAGATCACAATCTTTCTAACCTCCCTCCAATAATCCCCATAGGGAGCAAATGTCAGATTAACGCAATCATAACTAAGCTTCTTTGGAATATACAAGGCTGGCCTACCTGAAAAAATGAGGTCATGAGTTTTGAAGATCTCTCTTGCCATATGAGATGAGGAGACCACTAGAGTGGATACTGAGCCTAGTTGTAAAAACATGAGATCTCCATATTTGGCGGCTAGGCGCTCTAGGACGTGATGGGGTAAGCCGCCATCGGAGAGCTTGTGAAGGTTGCCAATGAGAGGCAGCCTCCTGGGACCAGGAGGCAATCTCCTTGTTTGAGAAGCAGTACTTTTCTTTCGGTGTTTGATCAAGAGCAAGAAAATAACGGGTATGAGGAAAACAAAGAGTAGGAGGAGTTGAGAATCCATGGCTAATTTCTGCCGATGGAAAGAGGGATACGAGTGATAAGTAGTTATACTGTCTATATAAATTTAAAATATTAATGCATGGAAATCGCTGAAATATTAAACTGGAATGTGGATAATAATTGATGGAAAATGGTCCAATGTCAACTAAGATGCATGTCACTCGTTACCTCATATTAACAGAATCCTATCAAAATATTTGAGCGATACATTCCAGAAAGTCAAGAATTCAACTTCACAGTTTATTTTATGAAAATGGGGTATCACATAGCACAACTATTTCTCTTTGAGAGCTACTACCGACCATCTAGTTTGGTATTGTTGTGCTTTGAAAAAAAATTATTTCTGCTGTGCAATGAGAATAAGCAGTTATGAAATAAAGCAGTAGAATGTTTGGTAAACTTTTTTGTAAAAGTGCTTTTGGAAAAAAAGGAGTATGACAGTGTTTGGTAAATTTTTATGTAAAACAGCTGTAACTGTGTGAAATGATAAAAAAAGGTATAATACTAAATATGCCATTAATTTAATTTTCTTAACAAATAAAATGAATTACTAAATATACTTTATTTTTTAAAATAAAAATATTTATAAACTTTATCTTAAATATTTATAATTAAGAAATTCAAAAAATAATAATTTTTAATGCCTAAAAATTAATAAATCTCTCTCTCTCTCTCTCTCTCTCTCTCTCTCTCTCTCTCTCTCTCTCACATCTTCTTCATTCTTGTGTTTTCCTAGACCTGGCAATTTATTACACGACCCGTTAACACGACACGAAAATAACGGGTTTCAGGTCAACATGATAACTAATCGGGTCACACGATAATAACCCGCGGGTAACCTGTTTCGACACGATAAGAAAAATGCTATTTTGATGATTTTAATTTTTTAAATTACTAAAAAAACTTACTATAAAATGCAATAGATATAATGAATATGTATATATTGTTTATTAATTATTATTCTATTATTTTCTATATAAATTTTAAAATTTAAGTTTTATTTATTTATTTATTTTTATAGTATATTATAGGCAAAGATTGAGATTAAAAATCATAAAACACATTAAAAATAAAAATATCAAGTAATTTAAAAATACCAAAAACATAAAAAAATTATAATAATTAATTTCCCGCCTAATATTTCAAGAGTTTCATCCATTTCCCACCTAATGTTTGGGAAATTTTGCAAACTATATCCATCCATTTCCCACCTAATGTTTAACCCAAAGAAAAAAAAATAACTAGCTTTTTTTATTTTTTTTTTATTTTTTTTATCTCTTATAACATTTTAACTTGAATAAAAATACAATACGTAATAAAAAACATAAATGTAATTTTATTATTAAATATCATCACATACTAATTGAAACATAATCTAATTAACACTTAAAATATATAAATAATTAATATATTTATTCCAAGTCATCAAAACGATAAGATTCACTAACGCTTAAAGTTTATTTATATTTTCATTAAGTATAACATCAATGCGTATCCCTTCAAAATGATGAAAGTATGAATAAACTCTTAAGTGTTAATGAATTTATCGTTTTGACGGGATACGTATCCTACAAAACTAATTTCAACAATCTAACCGTCAAACTTGTTTATACATGCTTCGAGATTGCATACTCCAAAAATTGCAAAAAACAAACATTCAGAGATGAAGTAATGAGACAAAACTTTTCAACGGTTATAAACGAAAAATCACGATTTAACGATGATTTTAACTCCGATTTTGATGATTTTTTACAGCTACACTCCTTGACCCTAAATGAATACAATGAATGAATTCGATCTTCAATTTAAAATATTTACACTAGTGGATACCACAAAATCTTATGTTATACTTAATGAAAGTATAAATAAACTCTTAAGTGTTAGAGAATCTATCGTTTTGATGGGATACGCATCCTACAAAACTAATTTCAACGATCCAACCATCAAACTTGTTTATATATGCTTCAAGATCGCATACGCCAAAAATTGCAAAAAAAAAACATTCAGAGATCAAGTAATAAGACAAAACTTTTCGACGGTTATACATGAAAAATCACGATTTAACGGTTATTTTAACTCCGATTCTGATGTTTTTTTTACAGCTACACTCCTTGACCCTAAACAAATACAATGAATGAATTCGATCTTCAATTTAAAATATTTACACTAGTGGATACCACAAAATCTTATGTTATACTTGATGAAAGTATAAATAAACTCTTAAGTGTTAGTGAATCTATCGTTTTGATGTGATACGCATCCTACGAAATTAATTTCAACGATCCAACCGTCTTGTTTATATATGCTTCGAGATCGCATACGCCGAAAATTGCAAAAAACAAACATTCAGAGATCAAGTAATAAGACAAAACTTTTCGATGGTTATAAACGAAAAATCACGATTTAACGGTTAATGTAACTCTGATTTTGATGATTTTTTTACAGCTACACTCCTTGACCCTAAATGAATACAATGAATGAATTCGATCTTCAATTTAAAATATTTACACTAGTGGATACTACAAAATCTTATGTTATACTTGATAAAAGTATAAATAAACTCTTAAGTGTTAGTGAATCTATCGTTTTGATGAGATACGCATCCTACGAAACTAATTTCAACGATCCAACCGTCAAACTTGTTTATATATGCTTCGAGATCGCATACGCCAAAAATTGCAAAAAAACAAACATTCAGAGATCAAGTAATAAGACAACTTTTCGACGGTTATAAATGAAAAATTACGATTTAACGGTTATTTTAACTCCGATTTTGATGATTTTTTACAGCTACACTCATTGACCCTATATGAATACAATGAATGAATTCGATCTTCAATTTAAAATATTTACACTAGTGGATACCATAAAATCTTATGTTATACTTGATGAAAGTATAAATAAGTGTAGATTTTTAAAACCCTCCAAATTTCATGAACAATGTTATTTATTTGAGTGAAAAATTAATAATAATAAGTGTGAAAAATGTAATCACTCGTAATGAAAAGCTTTACAACTTTCATTAAGGGGTCAACTCCGAAATTTAGTATATATATATACTAATTTAGTATTATGTTTTACATTTTTTTGAGTCAAATTATGTTTTTCTTTTCATTTTTATTGATTTAAAATATAATTTTTTTTAACGGGTAACGGGTCGGGTCATATTACCTGATAATATTAACGGGTTGATTTCGGGTCGGGTCATATTACCCGTTTACTTTAACAGGTATTACACGACACGACCCGTTAAGCTATCGGGTATGACACGAAAACGACACGAACACAAGAAACACGACACGAATGCCAAGTCTATTTTTCCCTCCTTTATGCCCTTCACGTTGCAACAGCAGCCAAGGCGTAGCCATCACGAAGTGTTGGATTTTGATTTTAGATTGATGCTGCTCATCGTTTATCTTGTAGTTTAGGAACAGATGCTAAAGTGTTGGATTTGTTATGGGGATTGGATTAGTAATTCTTAATTTAAGGACTTAGATGGATAATGCTTATCCTCTTTCAACCAACAAATTGAGAAATGGGGGAGATAGAAAGGTTTCACAATATATAAGTAACCCAGCAAAACCAGAGGAGCCCCACCATGGTTTCACAATTCTTTATTTTTTTTATTTTTTTATATTTGGTCACAAAGTCTATCCCACTCCCTCATTGCTATTATGAGAAGAGACTTTGAGGAGAATTTATTGATAAACAAGAAAAATACAATATGTCAGGGGGGACATGAGGTCAAACCCAGACCATTATAGAATTCATAACAATAATTGAAGACCTCTTTTAGCAAAATCTATAACAAGGAAGCTTAGAAAGGTTATGAGAATAAGCAGCTGCAACACAAGGAGGGCATGAATCCCACCAATGGACACCAGGGTGATCAACACCATAATTGGCCAAACAATCAACAACTTGATTACCTTCTCTAAAAATATGAGAAATCCGAACCTGCATGGAGGATAGTAAAACTTGACAGTTATGCCAACCGACCAAAAGCCTCCATGGGATAAATGTCAAAGAAGGTGAGGATGAAGACAGAAGATGAACAACCAGTGAGGAGTCACATTCAATCCATAAGGAATGCCGACCTTTATCCCAAGCTAAAGATACAGCATGAATAACAGCATGTAGTTCAACATCCAAAGAAGAGGCCAAGCCTATTGAACCTGCAAAACAACCAAGAGAATTACTCGTAAAATCTCGAAAGATACCACCAAATGCAACCACACCAGGGGAACCTTTTGCAGCACCATCAATATTCACTTTGATCCAAGACTGAGAAGGTGGGCGCCAGAACACCTCAATAATTTTTGGAGCCTTGACGACCACGAACACCAATAGAATGAAGAATGCAAAGCTCTTCCACAGAATTTTTCATACAGCCGGAATTGAGAGAATCAATTTCAAGGAGTTGACATTTAATAGACCTTACAACATAATTGATGGAAACAACCTCCTTATGAAAACGAACAGCGTTGCAAGCATGCCAAATAGAATAAAAACCAACTCCAATCATACCCCACTGAAGCAGTTGCACTTGGGTACCAAAACCTTGTTGTAAAGGATAATGGAAAAAGCTAAAAATATCTTAAAATAAATATTAAACTCTGAATAATTCCAAAACAGAAGACCAAATTTTACGTGCAAAAGAGCACTCAAAGAAAATATGTGAAGCAATTTCCATACCTTCACAACAAAGAGAGCACATAGATGCTATAGCAATACCTCTTTGCTGCAAGAGATCATCAGTTAACATCTTACCATGTAAATACTTCCACAATTTAACCGAATTACGAGGGCAAAAGCAAGATTGCCAAACCCATCGATCTCATTGAACCACTGGTTGTTTATTACGCTTAAAATCATAACCAAAGATAAAGAAATGTCACCTTTTGAAGCAGACAACCAAACCATTTTGTCATCAATCCCATTCTTTGAAGGAAGCCCCATAGAAGAAATATCATCCCAAATGGGCACTAGCCATGAATGTAAAGTAGGTGGGAGAATCCAATAACCATCCATAATAAAATTA